GATCTTGGTTCCACTTGCCTCTTACCCTGACTTCAGTGGAAATTTCAGATTGAGGATCTGACACAGACTGATTCATGTTCTACACAGTTCTTACAAGTTCATAGAAATTTCTGTTCAATTAGAACCAAGTATTTCAGTTGATGATTGTAATTTTTATACAGTGTTGTAATTTGTTTTTCAACAATTTTTTGATTAATGTTTAGTTTCCGTTACAATATTATACTTTAATGTATAATATTGTAACGAAACAAAACAGGAAACAAAACATCAATCAAAAAATTGCTCTCTTTTTTATTCGGGCTACTTAAATTTATTTTGGGCTTCCAAAAACTGAAGAGTCCCTGCCCGAAGGGCTACCAGGGACTTTGAAATTTTGCGAGCCCTGCAGATCATAATCAAAATATTGTTTGCACTGTCCATGTTGGCTTTCTTGTTTCTTCTTTTCTTCTTTTTGACTTTGACTCACAATACAAGTCATTCAAATTTATTGGAACCCTGTAATTTGTATATCATATGAAATGGTTCAGTCTCACTGAGCTCCACAGCTATGTTTTATCTGATGTTTTCATTGTTATTAATTTCACATTAGCAGTCTGGTTCACCAATTTTAACTGTTTTGGCTTAGAGAGGTAGCAACTTGTTTATCCAGGGGTATTAGCAAACCAGCAGTGATACTACAGCAAGCTTGCTGGAAATGTTTCCCCGGGGACCGCAGAAGTTTGAACTGGGATAATTTTGTGTGCTGTTGATTTTGGTGTAGTGCTGGATTTGGTTGAGTTGGTGAAAGTGCTTTGGACATCAGCACCAGCGGTATATGAAGGAATGTTTTATTTATTATGTGTGTGCGTTGTTGACCCTTTTGTGCTATGTGTGCTCAGCTTTATTTATCCTCTTTGGTTTCTCTCTGGTTTGGAGTATGAGAAGCCTAAAAGCTGGTAAGTGCTAAGAATGCTTTTGAGCTCAAGATCCATTCTGACAACACTTTACAGAGATGCTGAGAAGCTGTCAGTTGTGGGTTGATTGTGTTGCGTTTTTTAGATAGCCATGCTTGGCACAGCTTTGTAGAAAGATCTTTATTCAGTATCACATGTAAAAGAGAGAAATTCCCTTCTCGGATCATTAGAAGCAGTTGTTCTGCTATCTTTTGGTAACGTCCTCTTCATGTCTCTTCACTTGAACAGACAAGTTGCACATTAAATGCTATAAAGGTTTTGAATAAATTCTAGAGATATATTTTTAGTGAGTTTCATTTATTCATTTATTCATTTTCTGTTTGTTTTTTTAATTAATTTTTTTTATTACATCATAATGTATGTCACTGATTATCGGGGTGCTATGTTGTACTGTTATTACAATATTCAGTACCGTGTAGATGTCTTGAACCACCAATCTTTTCATTATGTTTTGCTTCTAAGGAGCCAGACTTTCTTGGACCTTTTATCCCTCAGCCATCAAAGGCTGATGGGGTACTGTCGCCACACGCAGGCCAGCAGGCGTAGACACCCAAGTTTGTTAATGCGGTAATTCAAATCTCAGTGATCTCTGACCTCAAGGACAGGGGCCAAGTTTTCTGAAAATCTTATGATGGGATAACTCAAGAAATCACCTGGAATTTTCAAACTCATACCATAGGTGCTGCCACTGAAATCTCAGACAAGTTTGAGTCCCGTTGATCTCCACCTCAAGGTCAGAGGTCAGGTTTTCTGAAAATCACCTAGGATTTTCACATTTATACCATAGGTTCATCTACTGCACAGGCAGGTGCTGGTAGTTTTTAGTGGTGTTGAGCAGTAGTTCTCCAGGCTTTCTGAGGGTCTTTTGAAAGTTTTTATTTTAACATTGGCTGCTTTTTGATCTTTTTCAGTCCAAGTCCTTATACCTGACCATTTTTAGACCATTTTGACAATAAATCACTCAGTAATTTAAAAACAACAATAAAATACTTAAAGAGATATTTTTTTTTTTAAAAATATCTACATATAACAGACAACTTAATAAAAATGTATTTTAAATTGCATGTTTAACCACTTTGTTACTAGCAGCATCTCACAAAAACGCTTCAAGTTCCCATTTCTTCTCTTGAATCTACGAAATATAGTAAAGGTGACACCATTTGACAGACATAAACGTTTATTTTTGAATGAAAAAGTTCCTAAAGGACCCTTTGTCAGAAACTCAGCATGGTGTGCAGGTGTGCCCTTAAAAATTTAAGAGCACTGGACAAGTGGAGGATAAGAGAAGTGGCAGGCATAAAAACTATCCACAGCAGATGAGTAGTATCTGGAAGTCATGTCTTTGAAAAATAGGAACAAATTCAGCAAAGGCCTGACACATGACCTGAGTGACACTTCGGGCCTTCAATTGGTCCATCTACTGTTTGCCAAATCTCATCAGAAATGGTCTTAGTGGAAGGGTGGCTGTCAAGAAGGCATTCTTAAAGACAGAAAACAGAGGAGAACACATGATGTGGACTGAAAATCAGAGGTCACTAGTCTTATGGAGTGACAAATCCAAATTTCAAATTTTTTGTTCATTGTTGTCAAAATGTATGGAGAATGTCAGCAGCGAGTGTCTGCAGCTATCTATAAAAGACAGGGGAGACTCTGTCACAGTTGTGAGCTGCATTTCAGACAGTGGCATTGGGGATTTTTTCAAGATTGATGGAATTATGAATGCAGAAAAGTATTGTTGGATTTTCATCCATCGTGCAATACCAAAAGCATCTGACTGGCAACAGCTTCATTTTTCAGCATGACAATGATCCCAAACACATTGCCAATGCAGTAAAAGCATACCTGGATAGAAAAACACACAGTGGAACATCGTCAGTCATGGCTTGGCCTCTCCAGAGCTTGGACCTCGACATATTTGAAACTGAAAATAAAACAAGAGGCAGCCAACACCAAAGAAGAACTTTAGGATATCCTTGAAGAAGTCTGGAGAATTAGACTACTTAAAAAAAAAAATTATGAGAAAAATGACAAGACATTAAGCTTGTAAGAATTGTCCAAACTCTAAATAATATAATAATAAACTATATCAAATAAAATAAATTCTGCAGCACAGTGATGCTGCTGTAACCCTAATGGACACACCTTTTCTACTGCTTTGCTATATTAAAAAGGTAGGATGTGCCACTGGCTACTGGCAGCGTGTGTGCACCACAGTTTGTCTTTTTACTCGTTACACCTGCAGCACACGTTAAGTCTAGGGCTGTGTGAGTCAGTAGAAGGCAAGCATGTTCACTACACCCACGGGGTAAGTCGACAGCCCAACCAGTCTTCGAGGCTCCAGCTACTTGAGCCATGACTTGCCATGTCGACTACCACATAGATGAGGTTCAGGGAAGCATTAGATGCTAGTGGCTTGTTAGAGCTAAATTGAGATAATATGATGTGATGTGATCTTTGTATCACGCTGGGTTTTGGGGTTTGTTCGTTTTTTTGGTTTGTTTTCTTTTGTTTATATTTTTTTCTTGTTCACTTTATGAATTGTAGTATTATTACTAATAGTAATAATTTCCATAAGTGGTTATTTCATTTTAGATTTATAATGGCTTATATTTGTTTTTCTGTCAGGACTATATAAAATATAAACTTTAATGTAAGATTAGTACCTAACAGGCTGCTTGTTATGCTTTTCTGTTTCCCTTAATGCCATGTTTTTCTGCTGCAGACTTAGTGTATGGTTCACTGGTGTTAATGTTTCCACAGCAGAGCTTTGAAGTGCAACTTTATAACGAACTCCATTTGGAGTTATTTTTCTAAAGTTTGTGGCACAAATGATTCTGTGGTTGGAAAACACAGCTCATCTTTTGGCAGCAAAATATTCTGGACCATCTTTGGTCTCTTTTTTTTTTTTCCCATCCTCTATTAGTCTTTACTCGGGTAGCATTAGATCTGCTTGGCTAGCTAGCATTACCCAGCATGCATTTCAGTGGTGTAGTTAATTAAAGCTCTATGTTTCACAAATGAAGTTAATACAAGTCTCCTCTCAGTACACTATTCAGTACATTGAATGTCCAAAGATATAATTCACTGAAGCCTCATGAAAAGCTGTTTTTTATCTGCTCACTGACATAGTAGAGTGGTACATGAAGTATTCATATCATGAAATTAAGACTATTATAAGTTTAAAGTGCATTGAGGCGACCTTTGTTGTGATTTGGCACTATATAAATAAAATTAACTATACAGATACACTGCTAACCACTACTGTGATGTTGTCACTATTGTGTCTGGGTGCCTTATAAAAAATAGATTAAAAAATGTTAAAAAATTAAATATATATGTGTAAATATTACAAGTTTGTATTTAAGAGCTGATCGAGGTACAATGAATATATCCAAGGAACACAAACAGTGGGGAAATAGAGGAGGGGGGTGAATGGAAGTGTTCACCTGTGTCTGCAAAACACTGATAGTAAGGTCCATGATAGAAAATCACTAAAAGTCAACCTTTTTTCTTTTTTTTGGCAGCTTTTTTTTTACTTGAAGTAAGATTTAATTCCGTCTTTAGAATGAAAGCGAGGTTTGTGCTTCAAGGAAAAGTCTTTTTAACTTTTCTTTGTCTAGTCTTTGTTGATCCAAAGGTTTATCACGTGGCAACATGTCTGAGCTGTTACATTAACATGTTAGATTGTGGCCTTTGAATGCGTGAGGAGTTTTTATTGCCACCTGGACAAGTATGCATGTTACACACATTTTAGTTTAGGTGACAGGGTGCTAAGAGTTTTCTCTACTATTGTTCTATGTGGTGTTGTAATTGTTAAATTGTTTATGAGTTCAGACATTCAGTATGGCAGGAATGTGTCTTTGAATTGAATTGAATTTCTAAAAAGAGATACCATGATGTCCCTTCTTCTGGCTGTCTGGGGTCATAAAATGCATCCAGTACCTTCTTGGTTTGGTGATCTGCCACAACAGAATCTGGGTTTAGACCGCTTAATAAATCTTGTTTCATTTGAGCTAACCCCTGTATAAGCTGTCATTTGGATAAGTCAGGCCTGTGATGTGGAAAAAAACTGAATGAAATTTAGACAACACACCTGCTACAGCAGGACAGCAGTACTTTACACACCATGTACCTGACTAATCCATGATTGGATTAGAGGAACAGCTCTTCGCACATGCAGAAAGGTGCCAAATTTGTCAACACAGTGTATTATGCTTAAAAACTGAGTCAGACGGATTCAGATGTAGTGCACTGATAGAACTCCAAGCACAAAGATGCCCATGATTCTACTGTGCAGATATTTGCACCACCCATTTGTTTGAAGAGCTGTTGGTGAGAATAAGGCAGATGTGAAGTATGAAGGACGGCTGTGGCCTCTAGGCCTTTGTGATTGCATCACACAACCAGTGAGATAAATGCTGTTTTGACAGCAACCTACCCTGGGATTGTCCTCTGTGGTGGACAAATTGTTGCCTAATGTTAGTTGTGCAAAAGACATTATGAGCCAGAGCTCACAGGAGACACTGCTTTTGTTCAATGCTTTGTTCTTACTGTAGGTTCAGAAGAAATATTTTGCTATATTAACCTTGCTCCTGTCTTCCCTCATAGTACAACATAATGTTGTGCCTGATAACACAAATAAGGAACTCACTCTTATATAAGACAAAAAAAACCAAAATTATTTTAGGGAAAGATTCTTGAATTTTTTTTTTATTTACTTTGTGACTCCTGCCATAAAGCTGAATTATTGACAGAGCTATACAGTAGATATTCATCTACATACCTTGAAATGTTGGTTATACCCAGTCCTCTGGATCAGACTAAGGCATTGGATGAAAACATGTCATGGACTAGTAGGAGCACCACAGGACAGCCCTGTTTTCTATCCCTGTGGACTTTAGTGAAAGGTTCATAGTGGGATATTGGTATTTTTAATTTTTGGGGGGTTTGAAAAATTAGGCCAAAGCTCTGTGAAGCAAGTCAACAGGAACCGTATGGCTGGTATCTCCTGGCACCACCTAATAGACCGCAGGCAGGAACACAGTGTTCTTCCAGCATTACCGTGCCTCTCAGATCTTCCGCCTTCTTAGAAGTGGGTGAATAGCTATCAAAATTATGTGGACAAGGAGAGTGCCACCAGTGCGGGTCTCTAAGCAGCAATGGGGATAGTGCAAGCCAAGAACACATGACTCCAGACCTCTCATTATCCAGTTCCAGTCCCTGCCCCCAACAGGGACCTGGGAAGAGAAACCAAGATGAAACAAATGGACTGTTGCCTACCATCAGGATCCTCCTCCTTAATATCTGAACACTCAAAATTGAAGGAGTCTGCCTCTATAGTGTTTGAAATTGATAATGCTAAATATTTATGTAGTATTTGTTTTTCAGCTTTGTAGGTATGTCTCAGGCTGATCTCACAACAGGCTTCACCTTTTTCACTTTTAAAACTTTTTTGGGATATGAGTTCATCAGAATCTATAAAACTTTCTACCTAACCTTGAAAAACATATTGATTCACTTCTTTGACTAATGTGTGTGTGTTCGTATTTCTCAGGGATAATTTATTTAGCAAATTTATTACTCCAATTTATATTAAACTGTACTCTAGATGTAGGGTATAGATAGTATCCAAGATTTTAGGGAAAAAAACATTTTTGTGCATATGTTTGTAAAGTATTATGTGAATGTATGTTTATCTAGTTAGTTTCCCTTGCAATAAGCAAGCTATATTCATGTTTAGCTTTTGTGATAGATTTGATTAATTTTTAAGTTATTTCTTTTTGTTTGCTTTGTTTGCTTTGAAGGTTAGATTTCCAATGAGTTTTATTGGGAACCCATCTGTGTTTCATTTACAATCAATACAGAATATATATTCATGTCTTTCTTGTTGTTATTTGCCCTTCATTTTTATACCTTAGTCCTCATGCTTCTTTTTAGATTCTTTTTTTATATATTTAAAAAAAAATTTTGTTTGTTTGTTTTTGTTTTTGTTTTGTTTTTTCAATCAACTCATTAAGTTTTTTTTGTCTATTTTACTGGCCTCTGCATTCGGAAATGGGTCCTCTCAGTTGGAATCAGTTTAATCCACTTCTCATAGTAAACATATTAGTCAGGCATGACATGGTTTACATAAGTCAGTACATACACATTTATATAAGTATGTATAAGTATGGATTGTCTCAGTAAATCCAAATCTGCTTTCCTTCTTGTCTCCCTAAAACTTCTTGGCATCTCAGTTCTGGCTCAAGAACAGAAACACAGTTTGATAGGATGGAAAAGCACGGTTCTATATGTTATCCTTTGTTTCTGTTCAACACCTTCGCTGTGAGTGTTTAGCTGCTACTAAAAGCAATCTCCTGATATACAGTATAACCAGCAGGATTTGTCATTTCAATTTTGACGCTTAGTGCAAAGCGTCAAAACATGTATTTCTTGCTGCTGCCACAGTTGTTGTTTAGATCTACCCTCTCCTACACTGCACTTGTTGTTCTGCTCAGTCCATTTTCTTTCTACATCGCCAAGTACTGGAGATCAGAGCTGCCAGGGACAAATAAACATGTGGTTTGTTCAGTTTGCAATCTGTCCTTTAGGCAGCTTCAGACGAGCACTCCCTTTTCTTCTCTAAGCACTTTTCTAATGTCAAAGGAAAGAAAAATGAACGCATACAAAGGAAACACTTATGCTTATCAAATAGTGAAAGCCTAAAGTTGAATAAAATAATCAATTATCTATGATTTATCTGAGGAAAATGGACTTCACTTGTGTACGCTTTATTAGGTATTTCTCTTTCTTGTGTTTATAGATGGTGGCATCAGATGGCGTCCAGCAGAGCAGGCCAGTAACTGTCAACATCCTGGTCATTGATGCCAATGACAATACCCCCACATTTGGAGAGGTCTCCTACAGTGTTGAAGTCTTCACCAACATGCAGCCGGGGGAGACGGTGCTACAGGTAATCAATCCAACAATCATTCTTTTGCTTCTTTCCTCTTGCACCAGCACGCCACGCTACGTCTCCATCTTTTTCCTCATCACACAGAATCCCTCTCACGCACGTTCTTTCATGCTCAAAACAAATAACCACAACAATCCAGTGCATTGTGCTGGAATAGTGCCCTTCATCTCATCTGTAGTCCTGTCAGACAAGTCACAGACAATGCTTTTATCTATATCTTCAGTGCACAAGCTTGGTTCATTCGTAGTGGAAGGCACTCGTGATGACCGTGAATTAACCCCCCCGCTTATGTATTTTGCTTATAAAACACAATTTTCTTCTTGTTTGTTTAGTCCATTTTGATTATCTTTATGGATTAGGAACATTGTTCATTTTTGATTTCATTAGTGCACTGGTTTTAAAGGTCATGATATACTTCCCTCTTTTCTGTTATGCGTGTATGCTTAAGAACCAAATCTAACATCTGTGCATGAAAACGATAAACGTTGAGCAGACTCGTGTAGGCATTACTGAAAGGGACATTTTTCATTCATTGTTTCATTCTGGGTAGGAACAAAAACAGATTCGTTAGGGAGTGCTCAGGCAATATTTAGTTAGCCTGTGGAAATTACTGTCATTCCAGTGAAGGTGACAACACTAGCTAATAATTTACATGCGCTTCTTTAAAGGGACGCTAAAGGTCGCTTAACTTCAAAAGCTAACTAGAGGTCATAATTACAGCTCGCTCAAACTTATGGCATAGGAGAGGACTTCTTCAAAACATAAACCATAACCTCATTTTGCTACAACAGAGGAGTAAGAGTTCTATCATTTTATTGTCTCATTTGATAGTCGGAGCATGATTCTTTCATCTTTCAGCTGATCTGTCCACTCAGCACGGCCTCTCCTCAAAAGAGAAAAAAAATGTCAGACATTGAAAAGGTCAAGTTTAATCGGTTTTAAAAAACAGCCGTTTCACCCTCCCTGAAATGAGGCCAGGGGTCACAGAGTGCCTGGTATGACCGCTTAACCGATTTTTATAAGCCATTTATGAGAGCTGAAGCCCCCTGAGGATTCTGCTGCTTATTTGATGCTACAGCTCTTACTCCAATGACAGGAGCATGGAAAAGGAGGTCATGGTAACTTGGATTAAAGTTTTAAGGCCCTAAAGATATGAAGCCAACTACACTATGAGGGCTCGTATTTACAAGCAGCGGGATGCCCTAAATAATTTTCCTTGAAGGAAAGGGTGGTTCCTTAATTTGTTTGATATGGGATCAAGAAATAAATGATATATTTACGTATCATTTTTTCCATCACACTTGCCAAAAGAACTATGTCTGTCACCTGTCTGTCAACATAGCTTTCCATATTTTATATGAAAGGCTGAAAGTAGTGAAAGTAGTTTGCAACTTTGCTCATCATTAAGTTAAACAAACCAAAATTGTTTAGATTTGATTTTACTTAAATGCAGACCCTGTAAATTTATCTATGCATTTGTCATTTCACAGACTTTAACACATACAAATCCTTTTGTGAAATCATCACTGTTTTTTGATATGGCTGTACTGTAAACAATAGACAATTTCTCTTTTATTGTTATAATTTTAACATTTAACAACTGAAACGGGTGTCTCTTGTGAGACATTTAGTCTCAGTGGGACTACTTGTACAGATAAAGGTTAAATAAAAATAAAAAATAAGCATAATGCAGATGATATTGTCCAGAAAAATATATTTATATTTGGGAATACCTCTGCAACTTATTTGCTAAACAGGTCCTCACCCACAATCCCCACCCACTGAGAAATATTTTCTGCTTGACTGGTTTAGTAAACATATTTCTGGGAGGTGTAAAGCAAAGGGGAAAAAGAGGAAAATGTAAAGGCACTGTGTGTATAATGTGTAGCTTTTTTTTTATCTCCCTAATTTCTCTCAGCTGACAGCATCAGATGCAGATGAAGGGCTGAATGGTTTGGTGACCTATGAGATACTGGCTGGCGCCCAAGGAGATTTCATCATCAGTAATCGCACTGGACGCATCACCGTGGCACCTGGTGTCACTTTAACTGTTGGGCGATCTTACACACTCACTGTCAGGGCCTCCGACAATGCACCAGAGACCCAGAGAAGGTGATTTATTTGAACATTGAAGAGTTCTACATTGATGGAAGTAGTTTTGTTATTGTGATTGATGTTCTGTACCTTTTTTTTTTTTTTTTTTTTCTTTTTTTTTTTTTAAAGAAGGCAGATTTGTTTCTCTTTTCAGAATGAAAAGCAGTTTCATAGAGCCGAAGCCATCTGGATGAACAGATTTGCCAGTGTTATCTAATTGAATATGAACTCATTGTAATTCACAACATGGCTTGAAATGACCCAGAAAGTTTTTTGGGGGCTGAAATATGGAAAAAATAATTATTTGGACTAGCTACTTTGAGTGAATGTATCCTTTTCCCTCATTGTGGTTAAACTATCTTTTTAGTTTTTCCTTTTCTTTTTTCTTTTCTTTTTTTTTAAATGTGTGCTTGGAGCTGTCAAAGGGAAATAATTTCAGTGTTTCAGTGCGCCACTCAATTTGTACAATGTTGTGAAAGAGGCTGTAATGTGTTTCTGTTTTGATTTCACTAAGTCAAAGAAAGGTTGTCATAGAGATATTCACCAACTGGTTAACATGGTGACAAAATTACTCCTCGTAGGACTTCATGTTCAGTACAGTTAGGCTTTTACTTAGTAAAAGTAAGTAAAAGTTAAGTACCAGTTCAACAAGACATGTTGGAAAAAAAACAAAACAATTAAAATCAGTTACACTTTTATGTTTCGATGAAAACTAAGAAGGCGGACGAATTTAAGCAATCATTAGAGCCTTGATCTTGATACACTTGATGCACTTAATGCACTTTTCATTATAAGATTGTCAACCACAAAGAAAAACCAGTGCAACCAAAACTCCTTTTCTACATTTCTGCAGTAAAAGCTCAATACAAGTGAACTTTGATGTGTCATTACATTGTGTTTGAGTTGCTTTCAACTCTTTCTTTAGCTAATTTGTTAACTGATGATTGACTATGTCTTGAGTTTGAATTGACTGTATTTCCTGTAATTAAAATAAGACATTCGCATATCTATATATAGTCTGACACCTGATGTGAGAGACAAAACCAATACAGAGATATGACTGTAAACCTGAGACAAGATTGTGTATAGGAACAAATGTAGGAAGG